ATGTTTAACTCTCTCACAGAATATTGTGGCAATTATTTGGTCAATATTTGATCAATGTCTCAAAGATGATACATGCTAGAAGACGCTAAAAGAGAAATCCTTAAAGATGATTATTTGAATTCTATTAGGAATAAAACTGAGACCATTTGCTCACTCCAGATGAATCACCAGACTGCTAAGCTTCCCTCAAAATATTTTATATGTGGATATACAGGCTCTAAAGAGCAGTGTTTTTCAAAAGTCCTGTTATTGGGTTCCCTTTAAAAGCCTTTTTGAGGACTGCAGAGTCACAGCATGGCTGCGGTTGAAAAGGACCTCTGGAGGTCATCTGGTCATTTCTCTTTTTCAACTCACCTCTCGTCCCTTCCTCTACCCTCCCTTCTCTTCACACTCCTTCCTTCCCTTTCTCCTTTCCTTCCATCTTCTAACAGCAGCAGTTGAAAATTAGATCAGTGACTTAAAACTATTAAGTATTTGATCCGATAGACATTGTTGTTAACCGTTGGGTCTTCCTTAGGCAGAACATTGCCAGTACAAGCACCCTGAGAACTGGTCAGGTCTTTCACATAAGTTTGGGGTTAATCCTGTGAGCAACCAAAGGCTTCCACTTTCAGCAGAGCCTCGGAAGATGTGTGTTGGTATCACCGCTGAGGCACATGCTTTCCTGTTTTGCAGAATCAGAGCCGCAGGTGTCCAACGCCTGCATTAGGACTCTGAGTCTCATACAATTATAATTCGTTCTAATATTAACTGGTATAAAATCCTTGGTCTTTCAATTTACAAATTGTCATTACCAGAAGTGAAAATTGTGCTTCTGTAGTGTGCTTTTATAGAATTCAATTCATTGTGGCCCAATTAAGTAGAGCAGTGAGGTTTATAAATACCATTAAAAGATTTCTTCCTGGTTTAATATAGGCTTGTAAATGTGCTCTACACCTGCTTCTTAGACGTTAGTCCCTGGCATTTGCAAAGTACAGAGGACAGAACTATTGTCTAATCTGATAATTACATTGAGAAGCGAATGTGTTTAAATCCTTAATTAAATATTTTTGCATTTTCATGTCCCTTTAAAGTTGCTAAAGTTTCATTTCTTTGTAACTTAAGAATACTTGTATTTTTACCGTATAGTTGAATTAAAGCTCTGGTCAGCACAAAGGCTAAAAACAGGAAATGAATGCATGTAACTACACCTTTGAGCTTCTGGAAGTTATGGAGTTCACTGTGAAAACTCATGTTACTTTGGCTTACAAGTAGCTGAAGGGAACTACAATGCAATATAGATGAGCTGAGTGCTGTCTTTGAAACCAAAAAGCTGGTTCTGAGATGAAAAGGCAGCTCCTTTTTCAGGTTAGAATAGGAAAACTCTTAGTTGTTCCATGTACAATAGTCCATCCTGATGTTTGCTGAATTCATGATCTAGGTGTCTGAACTGCAAACTGAGTCAAAATAACTGGATTTCTCCTGAGACCTCAGTTTGACCTTGAATTGTGATTAAAATGGACGAGTACATTTCTTCACCTCAGCTGTTTAATATCACTTAAAATCTTGAATTGTTGTTTGTGTTTTAACTGCTGGAGTGATGGAATGGCAATGCACTAAACACATTGGCTGAATTTTTTTTATTATTCTAGTTTTTAAAACATGTCAGGATTTTCTAGGAAAATGTCACTTCTTAGAAATTACTTTCAAGGCTTTAGGGTCACGTAAGTCCCAGTATGTTGCTCACAGTTTGCTGTGCTGTTCATGATTGTCTCCCCTTGCCAAGTGCTTCCGTTGACTGGCTGCTAGTACCTCCCTGCTGCTCCAGTTAGCTTCTGGGTTCGTTAGTCTTTAAGAGTAGGTGTTTATGTTTGTCATTAAAATACAAACACTCATAACAGTATTAACATAGCATGGTCAGAACACAATGGCATCATCATTAAAAGGTACTATTTGTCTTACAGCGGCAATGTCAGCGGGAATTGAGGCAGTTTGGGTAGGGCTCTGAGAGCCATATGTCCCCTGTGAGGTTATGACGCTTACCCAGTGGTATGTGCAAATACGTTGCTAACTTACCACCAGCTGCATTATACCATGCATTTTGAAAGTGGTAGTAGCTTTGCAAGAGGGAATTCTAGTTCCAGTAAATCTTTTATAATAACAACCAGTACAAATTATGAAACTTGTACTAGCTTCAACTCGTTAATCTCAGCACTGCTGGGAGGGTTTCTGATGCCGACTGTACATTCCTTTTTATATTCTGCTGAATCTCTGTTTTTTCTGGGTTTTAAAGTATAGAAGATACTGAAGATAACTCCAGAATGGGCAAGCTGTGCAAAGTGATAGCCTCTTAGGCCCGTGCTGCACACAGATGCCAATGATCATGTATTTCTCCTGTTAAAACTTGGGAACTAACTCAAAAGGACTGCTGAACTACTTATGTATAAGGTAGATGTGAATACGCTGGTAGGTCAGGTGGGACTTCCTCCCTTGTGCTAGATAGTTGGTTTGAGCGAGTTTTAAATAAAACATATTTTTGGACTTCTGTTGGAACTTACCCTTAGATTGAAGGGAAATACAATTCTAAATACAAATGTAAGAGCTTTTCTCAGCCTGTTTAAAGAAAGAAGTGATTGCCATTTCTGAGCATATTTTATCATATATTTTAGCTGAAGGCACAGTATTCTTAACAGATTAAAAAGCATAGATGACAACCCTTAAAAAATTTTGAGTCTTAACAGAAGATTAAAGACATTTCTCACCATCTTCATTCTGGTAAAATGATTTTTATTTAGTGTATACTATATTTGAACTGGTTCATTTCATGCTTGTAAAGAATCCAAGTTGTAAACCCCACAATATAAGGTGTTTTTTCTGTTGGCCCTTATCTGTGCCAACTCAAAAGGACCACCTACAGAAGGGACCATCACGGATCATCTGTATGCACAAGGAAGCAGAAAATAATTTTCAATGTTCCAGATAAGAAGTTGTAGTTGCAGAAAGTCACTAAGCATGTCAGTGCCAGTCTGGTCTTAAAGCAGACTGGTCATGTACCTACACATTACAGGAAAGAAGAAATTATATTCTTTATAATTTTATAACTTTAACACTTTATATTTTACACAATGTCACTGTTTTGAGAAATCTCCTGAATGGTGACAAACATCAGGCTAGAAATCTCTAAACAAGGTATTCTATAAATACCTAAATAAATTCTATAAATTTAAGACAGCAAGAAACCTCAGACTCAAAATACATGAAGCTGAAAATAAAGTGTGCCTCATATTCTGGGGAATTTATTTTAGGGCTTGGTGATTTTTATATATATATATATATATTTATATTTATGATCTGTAATGAGAGTCAGTAACTGAGAGTCTTGCAAATATAGATAACCTCCTGTCTAAATGCCATGGTCCACTAGGACTTATATTCTTAAACATATATGAAAAACACACATACTATTATGGGTCCTTCTGTTAGCTTTATTGGGCTATTTCTGCATTACAAAATATTGAGACAGTTTGTAACTTACACAGTGTTCAGCTTCAGGAGGGTAAGAAGTAGAAGTGACTAACGTGCATACATTGAATAAGGGCGCGGGGTGGAATGGACAGGAAAAGTGGGAAACTAATAACTGCTGTGATAATCTTACAGCATCTGTGAGATTAGACAAAAGATAGAAAATACCTCTAAAATGGAACATATCTTGCCCTTAAGGATGATGGTACTTCAGTTTTGTTGTTGTTGGTGGTGGTTTTTTTTCTGAAGGGTGAGCTATTTTTGATTCTTAACTCCTAGCTAATTTGTAGAAATGCTCTTGTTTTACTCATTTGTACAGGTATGTTTGCCTGTTCATATAAGCTTTTTTAAAATGGTGCATGACCAATATTATCCTCATGTGGATATTAAAATATTAAACCTCATTTCCTCCATTTAGTTATACCATTTTTCTTTTCTTTTTAATTGGGACACAGTTCAGGACTTTTAATACTTCAGATTCCCAGCCAAATTCATAATTGTCTAGGGAAAACCTGAAAAATATGGTGCTGAGGAGAAAGACAGCTCTTTTTCATAGTTGCAAGAGTTCTTGAGCACTGCTCTTGAAAGGAAAGGAATAGTTTCTGTATAAAGAATAAATGAGCAGAATCAGGTTCTTTTGGATCAATTAAGGACAAATTTAGCATCTAGAAAAACCCTTGGAGTTGTACTTTCTTAATGTTTTTTGTGTAAGCATGATTCTAATTTTGCAAATAGAAATTTAACTGTTTGCTTTGCCCAAATCAAAACTGTTCTTTCCATTTTAAACCTGTCTCATGCTTTAAACAAACCTAAGTGAATATGACAGCATAACGTTTTCATGAAAATTGCATATCCAAATAAATCTGTTCTGCAGAGAAGCCCTCAGGGATGTCTGCAACCTATGACCATGTCTGGGAATGGAATAGACCTTGAGTGTTTTTTCTAAGCTGTAGGAGTCAGTTTAGGACTTGAGGTCTCCAGCTAAAAAGGAAGTTCTCCCTGATGCACTTTTCACAAGACTCCTCTGCCAATAAAAATGACAGTGTTAAGATGGCCCGTGCTAAGTAAAAACTAAATCATGCAGTAAATCACAGAATAGTTGAGAGAGATCTGGAGACCAGCTAGGCCAGTGCTGTGCTCAGAGCAGGGTCAGCTAGAGCAGGTTGCTCAGTGCACTGTCCAGTTGGGCTTTCAATAGCTCCAAAGATGGACATTCCACAACTTTCTGGGCAACCTGTTGCAGTGTTTAGCTACTTGCACAGTAAAAGGATTTTTCCTATATTTCAGTGTTCAACTTTATGTTACGGAAGTTATCAAACCTGAGCTCCTTAAATTTAGATGTACGGCCAGGCTGTATAATTAACATATATAGCCATATAACCGTCTAATGAAGTCCTATTAAACTAATTTCTGAAACTCCATATACAACTACAAGGCAGGTGCTTGGACAGTCTCTGAGAGGAGCCATGTCTCTATCATGAACTGCAGGCAGCATCTAGATGACTGTGGGCCAGTTGTTTGACTCCCAGGTGCCAAGGCGTTCAGGAATCCACCGGTAATGACTGAGATGGTCTTTGATATTAAATGTTATGTAAAAACAAAGCCTACTCACTTATACATATCTATAGTGGGAGTCCTATATTGTGATTATCCTGCACAAGCTCTTTCTAGCCACTTTGTACAGCAGGATCTGTTCATCCCAACAGTTTCTGCTTCATTCTGACCGCTTCTCACAAGCTTAACCCTGTGGTGTGTCTCCCATTTCTTTCCATAATTTTTCTTGTAGAACAAGGTCACAAAATAATCTTCCTCTCTGCTTTCCCAGCATACCCTTCAATTAAAACATGGCTTAAACTCAGCACACATCCAACATAAACAAACACAGCTATGAATACGTTATAAAAAGTTGTATGTTACAAAACATTCTGTATTTTATCTCAATTCTAGAAATATCCAAGGAAAGGGAATAACAACTCCTACCTTGCTGCTGGCTTTCTCAAAATTTCCTGAACAAGAGAGTCAAGATATTTCCCAAGCAGCTGAACGAATGGAAATGTCAATTCAAGTACTGAAACAGAATGTTTGCCAGAAGCGCAAACGTTCATTGCATCCAACTGGTAAATATAGTATATTGACATTGGCAAAACACCCTGTTGATTTCTTGAATGTTTTCTTTTACATTAAAGTTGGGTTAGCATCACTTTTGTTTTACCTTCAGCAGGAGTACATATCTTGTCCGCACCCTGGGGCCAAGGTGCCCTCTCTTTTGTTCTTAAAAGCACCTCATGTAGTCACTGTTTTACATTTTTCTTTGCTAGAGTGTGACCTGTGTTCCTATAGTTGAGGAGAGCAGCACTTTGCTGTTGGCATCCTGTGAACTCATGACTGTATATTTGTATTGCCTATAAATCAGCTTGCATATCCACGGTGTTGCAAGCTTCTTGTTTACAGTGAAATATCTATCTTCCCCAGCACTTTGGGTTTAGTGCTTCTGGGGCTTAGAGTCCACAGATAAAATAATACAATTTCTATCACTCTATGGCACTGGAATTTTCAAATACAATTCCTCTGGACATTGATGGTCTTAATATCTCTGTTTTAAGAAAATACTTTCTTGTTTCCAAAACTAATTTTATAATTCATTGCTGTTACACATTTATTTCCACTTTGTTTGAATTTTAATTGTTTATGTTAGATGGAGGGAGAGAGATAGTCCAGGTAGTTCAATGATGTATAATTGTCTAAGTAAAGCAAAATTCTTGCCGTTAATTAGACGTGAATTTCAAGATGTCTGTCTGGTGTCTGGAAGGCTCAAAAATTCAGAAACATCCACTTTTTTTCCTGTAATTTAATTCTGTCACTTAGAGCAGCATGAATTGGAGAACTATAATTTGTATTCTCTGTCTTGTATTACAACATGACATTATTTTTCAAGATACAGAAGCATTAGAGTGCGGTAGACAAACATAAAGGTCCACAGTTATTTTTATTTTTTTTTAATTTGAAGAAACATCTGGCTTACTAAATTAATGAAACATTTGTAGAACTAAAAATATATCTATATGTGTGTTTGTGTGCATATATATACACACAGACATGCACACATGGAGATACAATTATTTTTCTGCTGGTGCAGTTTCAAAAGAAATCAAATTGCTAAACCATAGAACAAGTACACAGAATTCTTTTTAATTTTCAAAACTGGAACAGCTTTAATGGAAGATTAATAGATGCTATACCGTCTATGTGCCATGAAAAAGCATAGTTTTACATGAATTAAAGAACTAAATTTACTTTTAAAAAACCATGTGAGTCAATACATATGCAGCACAGATAACTGGGGAACTGGGCTCTGAGTATATCTTTGAACCTGAACTAACATGGAAATACAGCTGTATCCACAAATTTGACATGAGTGGCTGGTACATGACAAGGTTACGTAGTCAGTCTGACAGCTTATTCTCTCTCTGATCTCACTTCTACCTTGCACAGGTTCTAGCTGCTCAGCACAGTATTTTTTTAAGCTGATTTGGCTCTTGAACCTTTTTCTGTTTGTTTTCCTGGCTTACTTTTTTGGCTTGATTAATGGATTGAAGCAGCTCAGTTTAGAGTTGGATGGGCAGAACAGATAGGTGATGGGATTGGGTGACCTGCAGTTGCCAGTGGGGAGACAAGGACAAGAGTTAGATGCTACCTCTACCATTTTCTTTCAGCATGTGATGCCTACAGTCAGTTTGCATGGCAAGAGTTCTCTGAGTTCAGGAAGGATATTGCTCCTCTTTCATGTGTATTTCTACCTCCAACCTGCTACACGTGTTTACATACATGTGTGCGTGAGAGGGGGTGCCAGCTCTCTGGAGCTTACACAACAACGTGACTTTGTCCCTCGACAACAGAATGCTCACTGGGAGACCCGTCTGTGATCATATTACAAAGATATTAATAACATGCTGTCTGCTGGTATACAGCTCCCTGATTTTACCTAGCTCCCAATCCAGCTAATATTTCTGAGCCTTTTCCACTCCACACTTAATTACATGGTCAGCTGTAGTGTCTTTAAATTTCTGCATCTTCCAGTCCCACATTTTTCCTCCTTGGTATATACTTCTGGTTTTGAATGGCATTTTTTACATCTTTGTTGTAAGCACAATGACCAGCGAAGCAATGTGACTACAATGCAGGGAAAGAAGGAAGCAGAGAAAAGAGTAGAGGAGGAAAAGGAGCAGGTCAACCTCAGTTCTCAGCTATGGCTGGATGCCTTCCTTCTCATTCTCCATGCATCAGATAATAAAACCAGCTCTTCCCTTTCACCTCTATCTCCTCTAAGTCCCCAGGACTGCCTCCGGCAGCATTTTTCACTAAGTGCTCTTCCCTAGGAAGAAGAGAGGGGATGCTGTAGTTATAGCTGACAATAAAGCCTTTTCTCCTGTAGCAGCTATATAGCAGTAGAGCAAATGGCTTGTTTCGGTTCTTCCTTTCAGATCTTTTATCAGCTGATCTTCTCACTATGATTGCTAACGTTTCTGGATGTCTGCCTTATATGTTGCCACCAAAATGTCCAAACAACTGCTTAGCTAATAAATATCGACTCATCACTGGTGCCTGCAATAACAGGTATGTATGATAAAAATCATGCCCTGAAAAATCCTTCTTTTTTATTCTTTATATTCAAGAAGCTATGTTTAATTTTCTCTAGAAAAATGTGGGTGTTGACCTCAATCAGCTAACTTTGGCATCAACGTACCTCTAAAGGAGGTGCCTCTGAAAGCTCCTGGGGGAAGAACCTCTTCATCTAAACTTTGTTACGTTAATTTTTGCAGACAGGCTCTCCTTATGAAGGCTTCTAAGATTATGTAATGAACTTTAAATTTAGGGAGGACTGATTCAGTAGATGCCTTTTTCTGTATAAATTAAATAGACTGAATTCTAACCGAGCATTCATTTTTGATTGAATTAGATATAATGATACTGAGCAGGGTAATATAATTACTTCACCAGGAGCAAAAGAAAATAAACTAGATTCTCATTTTTGTGTTTTCCCACAACCTTAACATTCAGCAAGCACTGAAAATTCTGGGCAATACATTTATTTTTATATACCTATTTATATAAATACATGCTTATTGGCTACCTGAACAACTATTATTTACTACTATTATCTACTTGTTACCTAATAAATGTGGTAATTGTTTCACCCAAAACCCAACATAACAGATGTAGCTATATTTTCAGAATCCTCCAATGCAATGAAAGTGTAAAACCGAGAATGAGAGCCCTTTTGAGTACAAGGGTAAATGATATTTATACTCGGCAGCCTTTGGATACTTAGGCACAAGGTCACAAACTGAAAGGCAGACTGTAAAGTTGCAAGTGAAGGGCTACAGAGCTGTAAATGGAAGGCCATTAGCATTACACAGGTTAAGGCACTCTGCAACGCGGTGAACGAACAGCAGTAAAATTCTGCAATTTTATTATTCAATCAGTCTGTTTTTATGAGACTAACCTGTTTTGCTACATCACAAGTCATTTGCAAGGAACATGCCTGATAGGCTCTTTGTTGAAAGGACACAACCTGATATGCATCGATGTTACAAATCTAACTATGTGGATATCCATGATTTCCCCCAGGCACTTGCAGAGTTGCTTGGAATTTGAACTAACAGCTAGTATAATATTTGCACTGACAACTCCATCAGGGCTTGAATACTTTGGCCACGATTCATGCAGCTGAACATAGGCACATAGCTGAAGCTTCTAATTTGCAGACATGGCTGCTGTAGTCTTTCTCTCCAGAGAGGGAGAGAAACACACTCTGCTCTGGGTAAGGTAAAACATCTTTTTCTCTTCAGTGACTCTGGTAATACTAGGATGTGTATAGGCATTTCAAGCTGGTTTCCAAAGCTGGGTGGAGTAAATATGTATCTGGTTAGTCTGTAGTCTCTGTGTTCTACTTTGGATAGTTTTTTGCTTGCACCAAATCAGTGTCTAAATCCATCACTCATATTTGGTGGTCTTTTAGACTCACAGAATCACAGAATCACAGAATCACTAAGGTTGGAAAGGACCTTCAAGATCATCAAGTCCAACCATTAATCCAGTGCCACCATGTCCCCTAAACCGTTTCTTGAACACTTCCAGAGATGGTGACTCCACCACCTCCCTGGGCAGCCTGTTCCAATGCCTGACCACTCTCTCAGTGAAGAAATTTTTCCTAATATCCAACCTAAACCTCCCCTGGTGCAACTTGAGGCCATTTCCTCTTTGCTCTAAACATCTGTAAAAGGTGCAAGGCAGCAGAAAAACAAAGACTTTGAAACCAGCAGGTCAGATCTTAGTCTGAAACTTTGTGAGCCCCTTGAAATACCTCAAGGTTTACTGAAATGCATCAGCTTAAAAAGCCCATTATACTATAATGTAAACAGCATATTCTACAACATAAGCCGGCTTTAAAGATTTCAAAAATTAAACAAAGACCCAGTCCGTACTGTTCCTTGCTTTACAGCTGTCACTTTCAAGCAGAAAATATATTAGGACCTATCTGTAATTTTAGTCACCCAGTAGGAATGTGCAGCTGTGCTGTAGATCAGTAAATGCTGCATTTCATAGGTGAAATTTAAAAACAAAATTAACAGCAGAATTAATTGTTTACCTATAAGAAAAATCTATTTAGATTTAAAAGTGAACATGGAATTTCTTTACAGATGTTTTACCCAATCAATTTGCATATTTGGAACAAATCAGATAGATTACAAAGTATTTATTCCACGACACTGAGATTATTCTGTTTTAATGTGAACTTCCTAGAACAAAGACATAACAGAAGAGTATAAACATGACCTTCTACAGAGATTATCAACATGCCATCAGACATTCCCATCAGTGTCATTATCTACATTTACCAGTAACACATATCGACAGATCTTACTTTTCTTTCTGTCTGAAGACATATGTGTGGATAATAAGCAAAATAAATTTACAACATTATTTTTAAATGACGAATAAGGAGACGCACATCTAAATAGCTGCGCTTTTTTTCCCATTTTTTTCCCGACTAACTAGCATTGGTCTGTGTAGATTTTAGTGTATAGTGCAATGAGAGGGATTCAAAGGTGAAGGAATTACAGGAACTAAAGAAATATAACCCCACAGTCCAATTAACCTCACCTAATCTTAGCTTTCTGAGGTAGTTATACGTCTACTGCAAGGCTGCAGCTTTGGCTGTTCCTAACAGTGAGAGAGGATTGGGATGACAGGATGGCACCAGGAGTTATCTGTCTGTCTGGCTTGATGGACAGGTGCTAGATGACTAGATTACATTTTCTATGGCTCATATTTGGCCAGCTGGGTGGAATTTTATCTACAGCATTTCTATTTCATTGCTGTGTCATTAACCATTTAATCAGGTAAGGACCTGGTGCTTAGTGTGAAGCTCTAATACCGTCAGAGTTAGGGGTATGCATATGGCTCACAGGGTGGAAAGAATGAGCAGTTCCTACTGAATCCATTGACTATAAGAAGGAATTGAGATGCTTCCTAAAGGATAGCTGCTTCACTTCCACACAAGCTAAGTGTTCAGTTTAGTGGCAGGTTTATGTTTCAGAAGTTTTCCATGTTTGCCAGAAGTTATGTCCATGGTAGTGCAGAGTGATGTAAAACATGACAAAATCCAATTATTAAATTGCCATATGGCATTCATTCTTTCTACCTGAAACCAGGCAGGACATTAAAATAATATTGAAAAACCATAAATCTGCATAGTGAACTGCATCTTAAAACCCCAGGTTCCTTCTAAGAGAGCCAAAACAAAATCTAAAATGTGCAATTTCAGTATTTCACAAGTGAATGAAAAGTCCCACTTCCCATAAACAGAATGTATAGTAATCAAATTTGACTGCTCTATAAAGCTGTATAGTACCAAAATCTCATTATTTCAGCTGCCCTGGATAAAAACCTTTTTAACTCAAGCATGATTCCAAGACATTAACATGTTTAATGTAATAGTAAAAAGACATGTGAGAAGGGTTTTACTAAAGTAGCATTCCAGTGATCTGCTGAAATATAAAAGCAATCAGGAGAAAAATCACTTGTTAAGCAGTTAAATTAACATTTCATTATTTTTAATTGAGTGAAATAGCACTACACTATGTGCAGTATTTTATGCAATTTCAATAAAGGCAAATCAACTGTAACTAATTTGAATGCTTTATTAAAGCATACTTCAACCTTCAAGTGTGAATTATTGTGGATAATTAAGTATATTACTGTACCATATAGCTTGGCAAATTGAGCCACTTCAGTGTGCCGGAGATCAATGAAGTATTAATAAAATAATTGTTCCCTCTTTAGAGTCCCAATGGACATATAAATGTATGTTTTAACACCATGTAGTTCTACTAACTGTCTGGGAACATGTCTGGTTCTTTGTGGCTTACTTTACAATTTTGGTCAACTGGCTACATTGCAAAAATTTTATTTCTTCTTTTTATGTCTCTATATTGTAACAATTATGAAATATATTGAACAGGTGATGTTAAAAAAACAAACAAACAAAAAACCCATAAAAATATTCTCTTAGGAAAAATGTAGCATGTTGGCTGCAGGATGGCAAACTGGCATGCACTAATCCCAAGGTGTGCCCAGCCAGGAGTCATTCAGAGCAATGCTAGCTGGCGTGAGCCAAAACCACACTGGAGTTAGCGTTAGCTACTTAAAAGCACAGTTACATGCATACCAGTGCTTGGGCTTATGTACAGGCCCTCCCAAAGCTCTACCCAAGTAATTAGTATGGATGCAACCAGAGGGATCACTGCCACTGAATTCAGCAACTTCATCCATCGTTCTCCTTTCCTCATTCCTTTCTCCTTGGGTCTTGCTAAACGATTACTTCTGTATGACTAGTATCCATTATTCTTTTAAACTTTCTTCAACTGTATTCTAGGGTTTCTTTATATATATTCTAGGTATTTCTTTATATTTTCCTAAATCTTGATTTCCTAACTAATTTCTCTAAACAAACATCTTTTAAAAGATGCCAGCAAAGGCACTTAAGAGTGTATCTGAATTTATGGGGAATGAGGACACTCGTAGGAAATCACCACTGGGGCAAGTATTCCAAAGATGTCAAAAGGTAACCAACTTACATTATAAACACAAATAAGATAGTAATATTTCATTAATGATTTAATTTTTCTTTATTTTCCTTTTGAGTCCAACTGGTGTTGGCATACATGAAAACCAGTATCTGATGCCTTTTCAAAGTTCATTACTTGAACATCTTACTGCAATGTAATATTGCTCTGTGGTTGATGATTATTTTATATTCAGATTATTTTATAAAAATATTAGAAATTTATTAGCAAATATATAAATCTTTTATATTCATAATATATTCAGAGGTGCAGGATTTTTTTGTTTTGCTGATATTGGTTTTTTGGGTTTTGCTTTTTTCTTTTCCCAGGGAACATCCTAGGTGGGGAGCATCCAACACTGCCTTGGCAAGGTGGCTTCCACCAGCCTATGAAGATGGACTCAACCAACCTCGAGGATGGGATCCCAGCGTCCTATACAATGGAGTCCAGCTACCCTTGGTTAGAAAGTGCACCACAAGATCACCTGAAACGCCTACACTGGGCTGTAACCATACTTGCCACCACAGACCTCCATTTGCATCCGTAAATCAAATAGCGAAGGAGCCGTTGAGTTCAGTTAAGGAGCTGCTAGCTTTGCTAAAGCATAAGTTCAGTCAGCCAGATTGTGAGAGGTTCCCTGCGCCTGGGCTGGGGTAAGGCCAAGGAGCAGTGCAGGGGGGCACTGACTGCCTGGGGGACAACTCTGCCGAAAAGGACCTTGGTGGAGAGCAGGCAGGCCCTGAGCCAACCGTGTGCCTGGCCTGGCTCCCACCAGGCGCAGGGCAGCCAGCAGACCCAGGGTGATGATTGCTTAGCCTAGAGACAAGGTGGTGAATGGTGGACATAACCACAGCCCTCCCATGCTGAAAAGGCCATTACAGGGATGAGGGAAGTCTTCACAAGGGTTGACACTGACAGGGAATGAAAGAGGCAATGATCACGAGTTGCTCCAGGGGAAATTTTGTCTTGATACAAGAAAAAGAATATGTTGTGAGAACAACTAAATGCTGCAATGGTCTGCCTAGACAACTGCTGGAATATCCCTCGAGGGAAATACCCAGGACCTGGCTTGATGGGGCTCTGAATAACCTAATCCCTGCTTTCAACAGAAGCTGAACCATGTGGTCTCCAGAGTTTCCTTCCAGCCTAGACTTTCCAGGGATTGTATGATTCTCTGTTTCAATAATAATGCCTTTATTCAGGGGAGGAAGAGAGGGTAAACAGGGTTGGGTGTTAACTAAATAAATATAAAGCCCATAGATGCGCTATCATGGTTATGTGTGTAAGCATGGATACCATTTCTCCTAGGTTAGCATACTTTAACTAAGTAAGTATTACTGTCAAATCATAACTTCATTTTTTAGCTAGCCCAAGTTCCTGAACTAGGAAGGCATTGCAATATTTATGGGCTTTAGCAGCTCATATCATTAAAAAATAGCAGAGCTACTGTAGAGGGAAGTTTGAACACAAAATATTTGCATAGAGGACTGAGTGAAAAATTCCCCAGTGCAGTATGCAATGATTTGGGCTGGATTTACTATTTCTGTTTTGTCATCATTGCTTGGAAACCTGACTTTTAATGGACTCACAATCTGGCTATTTTAACCACTGTGTGTTTAATAAGGATGAGCAAGAGAATTTAGTGTTAATGTCACCTGTAACTCATGTTATTAATTAAATAACATTGTCTCTAAGCTGCACAATTTAACGCTTGAAGACGAAAACCTGACATTTACACAGGTAAATTTCCAGTAGATGGTACAAACTGTTTTTTTCTACATTCATTAGTGTACATGCTTGTGAAGTAAAACACCCTAAAACAAAACTACATGATTACACCAAATCTGATCATATATGCTCATGAGGAAGGTTCTCTGCTTTATTTTGAAGTAAGATAGGATAAAACTAGTGCCATAGATGGTTTTCCTCATTTACATAATTGTCTTCTTTTGTACCTTTAGCTATCCAACTATATTCTTTAAAAAGCAACATGCAAATTATGTGAAGGTGAGGGATAAGTGTAAGGATTACTATAAAGCAATATTAGAACACAAGCATAGCTGTGCAAGTTAACAGTAATAAGAAAATCCTACTAATGGCAAGAAAAAAGTTTGTGCTTTGTGGCCACCAAAGCTATTAAAATACTGATATAAAGACTTGTATTCCTGATGAGCTCTAAGTATCTCTCCTCTTGGCTATTTCAATATAAAGCTTGATGTTCCTAACAAGACCCATGTTGCCTCCTGTCCTTACCAATTCTATTTAACTGCACCTGCCTTATACAATCATTATATAGCCCTTATATTTATTACAGACTCTGTGACTCTATTTTATATCTTGCCCTTTCAATTGCTTGGCTTCTAAGGCAGCTGCTGTATGCGAGGGAATATTTTACAGCATGAGGAAGGAATCTGTGAATAATAATGGTACATTAATCATCATAAACTGACTGCTGATTTTGCTCTAATGTACTTGGTTATTAGTATAGGCTGGACATGTAGCATATATGTCTCCTCTCAAAGCAACTGTATCTCTATGCAGCTTTCACAGAAGCATGTCAAAAACACGTTTTGTCTTCTCCCTGCCTGGGAAAATGAAGAAGAGCTTTAAACTACTATGTATTTGCAATACAGCTTGTCTCCTGGGCTGCATAAGCTGCTCCATATATGTATGGAGCTGCCCAGAGCCTCTGTGTATCCACAGTGACTTGAGGTTGCCCAGCAAACAGAATCCATTTGTTAAAGGAGAAGAAAACAGAATAAATAGAAAGAAAACTTTTAGACAGTCTAAAAGAAAAGTGTGGTTTTCAAAATTCTGTGGGAAAGAACAGATCAAAGATACACTGCTCATTTGGGAAATACATAGAAAAATTCAGCTGAAATATCTTTTAATCTGCCTGTGGCATGAGTATCTCAGCTCCTGAACAGACATAGGAGTCCATCAGAGGTTGGATTTTTTGTTATTGTGGTTTTTGTTTGGTTTTGTTTTTAAGTAAACTGTTAAAAATACTCCACAACATAAAGTACTGTAAGGGAAAAAAATTAACTTTTTAGTTTAGCCTCTCTACTCCGCTCTGGTGAGACCCCACCTGGAGTCCTCCTGCCAGCTCTGGAGCCCTCAGCACAGGAAAGACATGGACCTGTTGGAGCGGGTCCAGAGGAGGGCCACAACAATGATCAGAGGGAAGGAACAGCTCTGCTGTGAGGACAGGCTGAGAGAGATGGGGTTGTTCAGCCTGAAGAAGAGAAGGCTTCGGGGAGACCTTCTTGCAGCGTTCTGGTACTTCAAGGGAGCTTGTAAGAAAGATGGGGACAGACTTTTTAGCAGGACCTCTTGCGATAGGACAAGGGGTAATGGTTTTGAACTACAAGAGCATAAATTAAGACTAGATATAAGGAAGAAATTTTTCACCATGAGGGTGGTGAAACACTTTCCCAGGTTGCCCAGAGAGTTGGTGGATGCCCCATCCCTGGCAACATTCCAGGTCAGGTTGGATGGGGCTGTGAGAAACCTGATCTAGTTGAAGATATCCCAAAGGGGCTTTGGACTAGATGACCTTTAAAGGTCCCTTCCTACCCAAACTAATCTTTGATTCTATGATTCTATGATCACCGTTCCCCCTGCTTTTTAGTGTTTTATCAATTTATGAGAAGTAAATACTACTTGGTACTCAAAGTAAATCAGTTCTCTTCCAGGTTCGTGAAGTGACAAGAAAAATTATTCACACATCTAATGAAGCTGTTACTGAAGACAACCTATATTCTGATATTATTATGGTGTGGGGACAGTACATAGACCACGACATTGCATTCACACCCCAGAGCACAAGTAGAACCACCTTCCTAACTGGAATGGAGTGCCAGATGACATGTGAAAAACAAAATCCATGTTTTCCAATAAAGGTAAGATTTTAAATTAATTTCTTCAAGAGAAATTCCAGGCTCTAAACAGGTCAGTAAAATAAAGCACATTAGTGATAAACATACACTGAAATAATTATAAAGAAAACTGATAGATCATCCAGAAATATTTGAGCAGTGATAAAAAAATTGAAACTAAATGCAACTATTAAATGAAAGAGGCATATATTTAAAATCTTTTGTAGAGATAACATACCATAGCTAAGATACTTAGCATAAATATAAAATATTTCTACCTCTCAGATTTACGTTGCAGAGAAACCTTATTAGTCCCCCCAAATGTTATTGTTTTCATGCTTCAAGGTTTTGAGGTCTATTGGGGAAAATAAGGATGTAGTCATAAATAATTCTGTTTTTAAATTGCCAGCCAGATAAAGTGGAAGGATTTTAAACTTTACTCAGTGAAAGCAAAGATATTTCCAGCGATTAATGCAAACTGTTGAAGAGAGCTATCTTTTCAGAGTTATGTACAAAATGATTTTCAGGGAGTTGCTGAAACCTCTACATACGTCACCTCTTTGCTTTGAGTAGATGGAAAACTCGAATTCAAAGCTTGTTAGAGGGTTAGAAGAAACATAAGGTAGTATAAATATAGGATCCTGTATTCTTGTCTGATTAATTTAAAAGTAGAGTCATTCTTTCATTCAAAAAATTAAATAGCAAAGTCAAACCACTTTTTTTGTTTCTCTCATCCTTTCCTTCTCCTCATGCCACTTATTACAGCCCTTGGACTGATGCCTCCATCTCTGTCCAGAGCAACCTAAATTACTTGATTACTGACCAGCTTCTCTGTGCACTGAAGCCAACGTAGGGAATAAGTTCCATCAGAATAGAAAACTCTTCTCCCCTCAACAAACCATAACTGATAATGATGCCACAGTCTCCTTTTGCCTTAAGTGCCTCATTCCACATCCATTAAACATAAAGGAAAATATTCAGCTAACAGTAATGGGAAGCGAATCAGGTCCTGTGTTGAAAGATGGCTCATCTTCCATTTGGTGAGAGAATCTAAAACACAGGGAGGGCTAAGTGAAATTAATGACTGCCTGCAATTTTACCACAGGCAGGTAGATCTAGTCACTCTCACGCAGGAGATATGGACTTTTGAAAGCTTGCAAACAAGCTTGAGAGCATTCAGAAAGAGCACAGGCTTCTTAAAGAATCACATTCTCAGGACACTAAGTGGCTAACCTGGTTTAGTCACAACAGCCCTAATTACAGCGAGTCTTCCATAGTTCTGACAAAAATTCTAGTTTACTGTGTCTCAAATTTCTATCTGAGACAAGAAATTATTTATTCTGTTTATGCTGTTAAGTAATAGCCTTAGAAATGTTCCCATTCCCAAAGTCTTATTAGGAAAGGCTGGGGCACAAGTCCAGTCCCAGACCAGCAGTGCTTCACATGACGTGATGAAGGAGGTGGAGTGCATCTCCACCACATGACATAATGTGTCTATGTATAGACTCTCATTTTTAAAAAGTCAGTTTGCTGTAGATATAAAACCGCGAAAGTCTTCAAAAGCTCATGTTTTGTGTGTATGACATAATCTTTGAAACGGCACAATTAGTGTTGATCTTTAAGTGCAAAACGCACACTTTTTTTTATTACTAAATAGATTTTTAAATTGAGAACAGACTCATACTGTTGCCCATAACTTGAATCAAATGTGGATCACAGGGACCACAGAAGTCTAATCACTGCACCCTGACTAGTTCAAGCCTAGAAATGCCATCTGCTTAAAAAAGAGGCAATTTAAGGGACCTTCAAAAAACGACTCCAAGGCTGACATTATTCATGTGAAAGCAGCATTACAGTGCAGAGAGAAAGAAGCTGCACAGATTACCATGGCATAGACCCACAAGTGCATCCTTCAGTGCTCTAAACAAGGGACATATTTCAGATTTCTACCTCGGAGCTGTGCAGAGATTCATCACAGACCGTGTTTCAAGGACGCACACTCGACGGCAAGTTACATGTGCCTGTACTAAATCTAGCACTGAATGTAGCCTAGGAGCTGCTCCTGCTCAGCAGTGTAGCCTAGCAGGGGAATGGGGTCAAGGCATATCCATGGATACTGTTGGGATTTAGTCCCTGATACTCAGAATGGACAAGGCAGGGGAACATACAAAGAAATTCAGGCACAACCCTGTAAGTATTAGATAAGTTTCCCAACTTGTAGATTCATTACATGATCACAGTCCCATGAATTTTTCAGCTCCATTTTGTTATTATTCTGTAATTCACAGTTTAGAGAGACAGTTATGAAGAGGGTTGTACTTTTGCTTTTATTATATGTCTAGTATTTTGTGACTGTTTCGGTCAAAGGCAAAGAATAGACACTGGTTTTTTAAAAGAAAACGGAGGGGGGTTGTAGTTATTAGTGTGACCAGAGGGACTATTTTCTGAACACTGAAACAAAATGCTCTTACCCCCAGAAAGATCTTCTTCCTGAAATCTTAACTAAAGCTAATGTCCACCCATTAAATATTGGGAAAACTGCCCCAGTTAACTTTATATGTTCACATTTTCTATGAAGAAACTGTGGCTGGTTTCCAAAGACAGTGAAACCAATAGCATATTACCCAACAAACACGGAGGATGCAGTTTGCAGTCTTGCTGTGTTCCAAGAACAGCGGCACCCAAGGGAGAACCCACCCACGGAAAAGGACAACAATGCTTCCAGCTGCACGTCCTCTCCGGGGATTTCACCGGGGGAGGAAGCTCCTGACTGTGAGGTTAGGGAAGCTGTCTGGAAAATGTTCTCAGTCAGGGCAAGTCAGTGAAGGATTGAAAACTGTGGTAGTACGTTAATATTAATAACAAATGTAGGTAAGTGATTCGTAGGCTAGCAGGAACCGTTACGATTTTCTGTTCTGGACATTTTCACAATAAAGGCTATAGAGTTTCACAGTGATTCTCACATCGAGCTTGTAGCTTCTGGTAGAGCCTTAACATTCTTTTTCTGTATTTTTTCAAGATCCCATAACATGAAAAAAAAAAAAAAAAACACCACTAGCATTAGTTTATACTTCTTTTACAGCAGCCTGACACATCTAACAGGGTTGTGGAGATAACCTGTCATTCCTCAGATGATTATTTCAGGTTAGGGCTGAGACGTGATGAGGCATTAGAAAGACTTTCATAGGAGAGCTACTGACTTTACGCCATATTAATTACGTTGCTGACAATAAGTTACACATGGCACATACACGTAGTAAGATACAATCCTGAAAAGTTTTCAGACAGTTCAGATACAAAAAGTTGGAAAAGAAACAGAGGCACAGAGAAGTGAGGTGATTTGCAAAAGGTGACATGTAACATGACAGGTTACTGTCTCAACTACAAATGGATCAGTCTGTGCACGCTCAACAACCAGAAAAGCAAGCGCCTGCCTTTTTCTTCTGTATTTCAGAGGGAGCAGTTCACTGTCAGATGGGGTCATGGATTGCTCTCCGAGTTTCATGTACACGAATAAACATTCATGTTTTCCCTATTGGCACACTTTCATAGACCATAAGCTAGGTTTGCTTTTAAGTCTACAGCAAAAATCCTTTTACAAGGTCATTTCTCACAGAACAAATTCACAATAAAAAAGACTTCAACTGAAGTAACAGTTTAGGCATTGTGCTACACTGAGACAATTAGTGCCTTTCATTTTCCTACACATAAAAGAATTTCACCATAAACAGGTTTGACCATGCATATATAATAAGAGTTTAAATCAATGAGCAGCTATACTAGGAAAAACTATTGTGGCCAGAGAGGGTTTTGTTGAGAGGTTTTTTCTTCTAGAATTATGCAAAGGAAAGGAAAAATTTATATGAATATTATTCATTAGTTTTGGGGAAAAAAGTGATTCTGTATCCATTTCAGCAGAAAAGGGTCTTTTATTTTCCTCAGATTATTTTTTATGTCATTTGAATAATAACTTAAGGAACCTCTCATTTGCACACAGCCTATGTCATGAAAAGGGAAAGGACTGCATTATGCAGTTCTCCCAGTCCCTTAATGTTCATTACTGCTGTTTTTCTCCACTGGGGCACAGAACGGTTTGAATTGAAATTGCAGAGGCAGTTAACTAAAGATTATTCAGTGTGAACTTCATTCACTGTTGATATGTTTTGTTCTGAGCCTTGCTGTTTAACAGCTTAAAGGCCTCTCATACATTTTTTTCCCAATGATACTTGAATTCTTCCAGGTTTTCCTGATAACTAGAGGCATTCAAACACATGCAATGCTGTGGCTGTCAAGTTCAGGTATTTGTAGTATGAGGTGAACTTCCTGCTTGCATTACCAGCTAAAGGGAAAAAAAAGCCACACTAATAACAAAAGACTTAACAATAGAGACAAATACTAAATAGAAAACCCAAGGCAGAGAAATCACAGATTTCAGCAACCAGTGAAAGAAAGAAAAAGGAAAAGAAATTACAGATTTCCTTCAAAATTAACCTACTTTGATTTGCTAAAACCTAGGTATTGAAAAAATATTTGTAGAATTTCTTTACTAAGAAAAACTTGAAAAAGAAACAAAACCCTTTCTTAAATTAAATGTTTTATTGGTATCAATCCCTACTGACATGGGTTTTCAGTAGTAAGAAAATTTTACTTTGTATAATAAATGAAGTAACTATGTTGTTATATGCAGCTATTGAATTCCATTCTGAAGTTGCTCTGTTACTTTTACCCCCAATTAAATGACTATTCTACCTTCACAGACTGACCTCTATATTATTAGAAGAATGAAGAAGAAATTACATCTTTTTACATAACATCTGCAGTATTCACTGTCTTCTGCCAGAGAGTTTTGAAAAATGAAAAGCAATCAGACAGGATGCAAACAAGAAGGGTTAGCTCAGGTGTTTGTACAAAACACTTATTTTCTCCTAGTCAAATTTTGAAAGATTATTTTTTCTGGTATATTTCTACAGCTTTATTAAGTGTTACCTCTACCTACTTCATGTTGATTAATTGATAAGAAAACCCTAGATTTATATTTCCTGAAACTCAGACTCCATGATTATGATAACTTTTTTAATTGAGGTTAATCTTTTTTAAACTCTTGGAACAGACAGGCTGTTATGGCTCATTGTTGGTGCATGATGCAGTGCTGTTAGAATTTGGAAATAATGTGTTTTTCAGAAAAAGAGAGTTGGTAAAGCCAAATCTTCATTAGACAACACAGAGAAATTTCAGTAATTTTGAAACATGGAACTTTTTGGTTTAGTGGTGAACTCTGTTCTTTGAAATAGAATTGATGCTCTGGGATATCCTACAATGCGAATAAAACCTCTCTTCCTTTCTCTCCTCCTCCAACATCTCAGCTGCCCTCCCCACATCTGTTAAGTTATTTACATACCATTTTCAGTGCTCTCCGGTGACAAAACTTCTAGCTTATTATCTCCTAATACTCTTACCTGTACCCCAAGATGTCATTTGATAATTGCCACATGGCTCTCTCAAGCCCTTTACCGATATTTGGAATAGCTGAGCGAGCAACAGGCAGGTTCAGACTATTTCCATGCTGACTAGCACATAAATGCTGGATCACCATTTGACCTGGGTCTCTCGACTGTGGGTGGGTCAAACCGACAAAGGACTGGGAAGTCTTTCATTTGGCAAGGGATATGTGCAGCCTTTGCTTTTTACAAAGACAGTTAGGATTCAATACTTGTAAGACACCCCGTCGCTGTAAAATAATGTGGGAGAAGGGTTGCGGGGGACTGGCAGAAAGCAGAAAGTGAGTAATTACAGATGCTTTTTTTAGTTAGGAAAATGGATTAAAATTAAGTATAGAAACAAAGCTTTTATAGCGTGCTGCTGCAGACATTGAAACTCTTCATTACATTTTCACGTATACGTGTAAACTTGCTGTTTCACTTGGTGTTTAGTGGAACATAATTTCACCAGATGTTCATGTCTTTTCACTGTCATACATTTTGTGATTAATTTTGATTGTGAAGCAGACTAATTTAGGTGTAGAACTATGCAAAAGAGGTTACATCATCAGCTCGCTCTTATGACAGAGTAAAGGTTTTGGGGTTTATTTCCGTCTTTGCTTTAAAATGGTTGAATAATCTTTCTGCTTAAATCTGATGGTAAGCAAAGCAATCTCTATAGGCTTAGAATATGTCATTCCAGTAGATGAGAACTGAACACCTGAAAACTGAGACAGAGGATGGAAATATTTACACAAGCCTTAATTCAATAGCCACAACTGTTGCCTTCATCTCAGAAAATACCCCCTTTTTTTTTTATGCAGTTGACCACCAATGATACATTAGCTGCAAGTTTGGATTGCCTGCCCTTCTACCGCTCATCTCCTGCATGCGGCACTGGTGATCATGGTATTCTCTTTGGAAACCTATCAGCACTAAATCCAAGACAACAAATCAATGGCTTAACCTCTTTCCTTGATGCTTCTACCGTCTATGGCAGTACCCCTGCCACTGAAAACAAGCTGAGGAATTTAACAAGTGAAGAAGGCCTTCTTAGAGTAAACATGAAATATCATGATAACCACCGGGAATATCTACCTTTTACAGACTGGATCCCATCACCTTGTGCACAGGACTCCAACGCAAGTAGAGATGAGAGAATTGAATGCTTCATGGCCGGGGACAGCCGATCCAGTGAGGTCACGTCTCTGGCAGCTATGCACACGCTGTGGCTGAGAGAGCACAATCGCCTGGCCAGAGCCCTCAAAAAGATCAACGGCCACTGGACAGCTGAGACAGTCTACCAAGAAGCACGAAAAATTGTTGGTGCTCTGCATCAGGTTGGCTGCTTATTTGCTTATCTACACATTGCAGTGAATAACTTAAAATCACAAAAACTTCAAATCTGTGAGTGGCTTTGGAGATGATGTTACCGTTTATTTGCCACCTATTTCTGCTTTTCAATTCTGGCATGTTTAAAGTCTCTTCTGTTTTCCACTTTCCTGAATGCAATGTCCTTGTCCTTAGTTTGTCCAGACCCCCCAGCGCTCCGATTTTCATAGCAGTTTCCACCCTGCCTCATCTTCAGTTTCTACCCCTTCCTCATCTGCAGGCTTCTCCGGTGTCTGTTTTGTCTATGGAAGAGGCCTTTTCAGATGTGTTTCTTTGTAGGGGTTTTTTTTTGGTAAAGGAAACAAAAAGTAATGCCTCTGTATTTACAGAGTGTTCAAAATGCTTACTTTCTCATAGGAATTATATGAATTAATAACTCTCCTGTGTAAAAATGCCTGTGAAGTTCTCAACGACACATTAATACATAAACTTCAAGGGCCACTCTTGATAGGATATAGCAGGAGAAATAAATGTGGGAAAATACAGAAGAAAAGAGTCCATAAGAATGTTTATATTAGAACTGAGAATAGGAAAATCTATTTCTACTCAGGTTTTTTCCTCCCCTTCTTCCCCTGTCCTGAAGTAGCTACACAGGCTTTATCTCCTTTTTTTCCTCACAGTTCTGGTATTCAGTGTGGACAGCTTCAGGTCCTGCCGACCTCCATGTGACCCTATCATAAACAAAACAAAGTGAAAACGTTGGACAGGATTTCTCTTGCACAAAATACAATCTGCCTGTTTACAGTGTTAGAGGCGGTCACATCTGAACGGCAGCAGGACCCAGATGGATTTGTCTAGTATTAGCCCAATAGGTGGGAGGATGTTGTGACTCCCTGTCCTCAAGTCCAGCCAGCACAAGGCCAAGCGTTGATGTCCCGTAGGCATGCACTTGGGTGCGCACACACACCCCCACAGCACTTCCACTGGTGCTCACAGGAATGTGAATGGCACGGATGGCCCATGGGCTGCTCAGGATCGAAGCCCATTAGTGAGGTACGTGCGCAGGCAATGTGGGGCTCTCCCAGACACCTGCACAGCGACTGGCCCCAGAGCTGGTCCAACTCACGATACCTGCACCCACAAACCCCTGAGGGTCAAGGGTCTCACTCACTCTCTCTGCAGGTCCTCAAGTTTCTTATGCTGCTCATCATCTCTGGGCTGGAAACTCACTAGTGATCGCACACGCACACTCAGAATAGAGTACACCCACAAAGAGGGTAGATAGAAATAGGATTTCAGAAGAATATAGCTTAAACTGCAGAGATCAAACACAGGGCTCAGTGAGATGACCGCACTGATCAGCTAAGTCTCCACACTCAGACAACCCTCTATTGTCCCATGCTTCTTCCTCCCCGGTCCACTTTGACCCCTCTGTTTCCCCACCTTTGCTCCTTTCCCTGAATACCCCATAGTTTTTCACACATTCCCGTAACTCCTTAAAACATCGCAAACAAAGTTCTACACAGTCCCCCCAAGTCATCTCCTCCCTGCACCCCATAACAAGTCCGACCCTTGTAGGCAACCTCCCCTTCAGCTTGCGTGACGCTCAGGGGACAGTTTCATTCGTTGGCTCATCTTGGCAGGTTTCACACCCGGGCTCAGGGTATGGCAGCTCTCTCTGGTGGCCTGGGGGGACAGACGATCTCATGAGCCCCTTTTCAATGGTTTGGTCACTCAGGTTGCTGCACCTGAAATTGCTCCTCCGATCCTCACCAGGGCCTTTGCGGTTTTGGGGATTCACCTTTAATCAGACAACCTAAGAACAGTGATTCGGTCTGTCCGTTTTAATCCATGATACTGGATGAGCAATATCAGGACCAGGATAAACTGAAGGCTAGGGGATTTTCATATGCTTTCTGATTCTCGCAAACTGATAACGGCAGGAGACTTTTTTGAAGATAAATTGTGGAAGGAGGGAGGAAAATCTCACTATTCTGATAAAACAGTTATCCTTTCTTCTGCCACAATTCTTAGTCAGCAGGATATGTTAAGAAACAACCTGCGTTCTCTGGTGTGTTGTTATTTGCACTTAAAGTCAGATAACTTCTGAAAAGCAACATAGCTTATTTAATTATATTTAGTCAGTCCTTTTGAAAAGTTTGGCTTTTTTTGCAGTATAAATTTTGTTTACATTAACTATGTCAGCTCCTCTGCTGTAAATGTGCACTTTGCATTAAAATAATGGCACTTACAATTCAGAATTGTTTTTAATACTTGTTAGAAGAAAGGTGCAAATCCAAAAATGGGCCTCTGTGCATTCATACACTTCTGATTTATGTCTAGTCACATTATGGCCCAAAATAAAACATTTTGTGCAAGGCAATATGCTGCATGAATCTGGGCTACTCATTATCTCTACCAGTATTAGAGACTAATGAGATTTGCCTATGGCTCACTAGAAATGTGTCTGAGTTATACCTAGCTGGTTTAGAGACATTCATTCAAGAGAGATAATTGGAGTATCTCTGGTAATGTGGTATGATAACCAGCACACTAATGACAGCTCTAGTTGAAGTTACGTTGAGAATTCCACTCTAAAATTTAGTTTTAGTTGCTACACATTTCTAAAATTCCCTATTTTTGGAATGAAGACTCTCAAGTATAATTTTTTACCTGTGGGTGTGTAATTATATTGAATTGAACAAAAAGCCTTCCCTTCCTCCTAGAATAAGAAGAAAGAAAAAAAAATATCTCTAGACCACACTTTTCCTCCTAGATGTTTTTTTTGGCAGCATAAATATCTCTAGTGACAAGTGTTTAATAATAGAAATTTGACAAAGTTACCAAACATAGCAACTGCATGTTGATATCCTGGACAAAACGTATCTTTTTCATTGCATTGTAAGCATGTTTCGTTGATAAGTAGTAGTTTATATGAGACATGAAAGTGGTTAACTCTCCCCTTGTATTCTATAGGAATAACACATGCTTAACGCTAAAGTATTAACACTTCAGTACACAGTGGTAAAAATATATACCCTGACTTACCTAGTGTTTTGTGCAAAAAGACATTTTTTCACTGTCATTTACTAACTGAAATGAAACTATCTGCTTGTTTTGCTTATTCCTGTTGTAACCAAAGAAAACAGAATAAGCAGAATTGGGATTCCTTCTTTTAAGCTATTAGAAAGCAAATACCTTAAACAAAAATTGTAGACAAAACAGTAAAATATGCTCAATTATGCAACAGCTACAGTCTTAACATTGCTATTTCATACCTAACGTGGTTTGCAGGATGCAATAACATGCACATGTGCTGTTCCTCCCAGACACCGTTGCCCCTGATGTGCAGCTTGGATCATGAAAGTCAGATGATGTGGCTCTAGTCAGAGTGAAGCAGGAGTTTTAGAGATCAATCTGAATCAAATTCTCTTTGATTTATTACAGTATCAGAGAACCATCTCTGAATTAATGCTGTTACTGCCAGTTGATCCCAACTGCAGTTGACAACTGCCTTTAGTTTTCAGTGTATATAGGTGTTTTTTCCACTTCCTTCTACATCTGCTTGTGTTTTCTGAGCATCTTGCATCCCTACCTCTCCATGATCTGAAACTTGGGTTGAAAGTCGGTGTCTTCTGAGGCTGACAAACTAACTTAACTACAGTTATTGGGTTCAACATGAATAACTTGGATGAAACTTGTTTGTGTAATCAAATGACAAGATAACTCCTCTTAGAGCTTGAAATCTATGAAAATATGAAGGATAAATAGATAATGATAGATATTTTAAAAGAGTATGTGTTGCACACTGTCATAACTCATGTTTATAAAGAGGTTTGTTTTTTTCAGACTACTAAGAGAACTATAATAATGTGTTCATTATTTATTAAAAATTGAACTATGATACAATCACGCTTTACAGAAAAGTTTAGGACTTCAACACCATCTGTAAATCCTTTAATATCTACAGTGAGAACTTCAAACCAGCTGTGCATAGCACTTTAATGAATTAAACATCATTGCTATGTTTGGCTGTTCTCTATTATTTCTGCAATCTTTCCCAAGTGCAGGAGCTTCATTTAGTTGGATCTTCACTATCTCAGTGCGATACTATTCCTTTGCAGTTACCTCTGGCCAATGGCAAAGACAAGTTGCAATATAGGCCTTACTTATTCTTATAATAGTTCACATACTTTTATATTCTCTCTTCCAGCCTTTTTTATTTTCCTTTTCTGTCCATTGTGCCCCAATGACAACCCCTTTGGAAAATACTGCAGGGGTTTTGGCAAGGGAAGTCTGCTG